GGAGAGGGAACAAGAAAGGTGGGAGGGGGGAGAGGTAGAGGTAGAGGGTGGACTCAGGGGTGAGTAGAAAATAACCAGGAGGAGAGCATAGAAGAGATTAGCCGCCCAAGGGGGGGCAACAGAGGGAGGCTGGGGGGAGAGTATGAGGAAAATGGAGAGTCAGAAGAGAGCGAGGAGAGCGAGGAGACAGAGCACAGTGAAGGAAGTAAATGACCATCAAAAGGCCCGGAAGAATGAAAGAAGGTGAATAGAAGTATGAGAGCAGCAGGAATGAGGGGAGAGAATAGGAACAGGAGAGAGGAGGGGAAAGAAGAGACAGACGAGAGTAGAATGAGTGACAGGACAGAGGACAAACACCCAAAAAGACTGACAGTAGGAGAGTGGGAAGAGGAATTGAGGGAGAGAAGAATAAGGAAGAAGAACCTCATTATGGAGGGATTGACACTACTGAGTAGAAGAAAGAAGGAGGAACTGGAGAAGTTTTTTAGAGAACAACTGAAGCTAGAAATTAAAGTAGAAAGACTGGACAAATGTGAGAACAGGGGCTGGACGGTAAAGGTAGAAGAGTTCAAGCACAAATTAACAATAATAGCAGGGCAATCAGGACTGCGGAGAAGGGGGTGGGGAGTGTACTTTAGAGATGATTGGACGGAGAGACAGAAGGAGATAAAAAGATGGTTGGAAAAGCAGGCAAGAGGATGGAGGAGGATAGGAATGGAGGCAGAAACGGCCTATAACAGCATACAAGTAGAGGGACACAGGCTGGAATGGGATGAATTAGAGGGAGAGCTGAGGGTAAAGGCAAAAGGAGGAAACAGGGAGAAGGAGAAGGAAAAGGAACCCAGGTCACTCCGTTGTATGCATTGGAACCTGGAGAACGCACGGAACATCGAAAGGAATAAAGAGTTATGGGAAAAGATGGATGTGATATTACTTCAAGAAACGCATCTAGAAGAGAAAGAGTTAAAGAAGTGGAGGGAGAAACTGGACAGAAGATACGAGTGGTTTGGGAAGGCAGCGGTGAGGAAGCACAGCAGAGGAAAAGCCAGCGGAGACACTTGGTAGGAATCAGGAAGACGCTGGAGGCAGAATGGAGGGTTGAGGAATGGCATTACGGTATAATTGTGGAAATAAGAGACAGAAAAAATGAGAGGAGATATATTATAATAAGCACATATAATAATGATAGGAAAAACATGGGCAAGGTATTGGAGGCGCTAGGAATGACAGTTAAGGACAAGGAAGGAGAGGGGGCAAGGATAGTAATTCCAGGGGATCTAAACGCTAGAATAGGGGAGCTGCAAGGATGTGCATCATGTGGAATGGAGGAAGAGGTTAGAATAGGAGAAAGGATAGCACAGGATAAAACAGAGAGAGGAGAGGGAAGGAAGCTGATAGGCTGGTGTGAAGAGAGAGCTTTCTTAGTGGAAAACGGCAGAGCTAGGGGAGACGAGACGGGAGCAATTACGTTCATTGGAGAGGGGGCAGGGTTGGGCAGCACACCGGACTATGCCCTAGTGAGGTTGGAAGATGAGGAAGACCCGAAATGGTTTAAGGGAATGAAAGTGGAGGAACAAGAAGGATTGGACCACCTGCCTGTGGTATATAGTCTGGACTGGGGACAGATGAGAGGGGAAGAAGAAGAAGAGGAGAGAGGGGGAGGGAATAGACTGAGATGGAAAGAAGGAAGGGAGGAAAAGTACAGAGAAAAATGGCAGGAGATTTGGAAATATAAAAATCAAGAGGACAAAGGGACTAATCATAGATGGGAAAACCTACTAAGGATAACAGTGGAGGCAGCAGAGAAAGCAAAAATGAAAAGTAGTGGAACAAGGAAAAAAAGAGCAGAGTGGGACAACGGAGAATACAGTAAGAACAGACAAAAGATGTTCAAATGCCTGAAAAAATTCAGAAAAACAAGAAGTTGGAAAAATAAGGGGTAGTACAATAGAGCAAAAAGAAAACTGAGGGAGATAAGGGGGATATTAATTCATGAGTGGATAAAGAACAAACAAAAAGAAGTAGCAACAAGTAGGACAATGACAGAAACTTGGAAAGCATTAAACTGCTAGACCAGTTTAATGAAAGGTAGGAGAAACGGGGGAAATGATGTGACGGAAGAAGAGTGAAAAAGGCATCTCATGGAATTATTAGGAGGAGAAGAGACAAGGGCACGAGAAAAGAGACCGAAACAAGTGGTAGAAGAGAGAGGAAAGGGAGAGGATATAAGAGGGAGCTCAGAAGAGGGAAACGAGTCTTGGTACAAGAGGGAACAGGGACAGAGGGGGACTGCAAGAGAAAATGGGAAGAGAAAAAAGGGAGGAAGGGAAGTAGATAAAAGAGGGGAAGAGGAGGAAGAAAGAGATTCGGACCTGGATAAAGAATTGACGGATTGGGAACTAAAGAAGGCGATAGAAAGGCTGAAGAAGGGGAAAGCGGCAGGCGGAGATGGAGTAGCGGCGGAATTCTGGAAAAACTTACCAGAGGTAGGGGAAGAGGAGTTCAGAAGAATTATGAAGGAATTATGGAAAAAGGAAAAAGTCGTAGATAGGTGGCGGCTAGCCACAATATTCCCCATTCACAAGAAAGGAGATGTAAATACAGCAGCAAATTATAGAGGAATATCGCTGCTAGATATAGGTTACAAGGTACTGACAGGAATAATGGCCAGGAGGCTAGGGAAATGGCTAGATGAGGAAGGAAAGCTGACGGAAGCACAGGCAGGATTCAGGAGAAAGAGAGGCACAATGGAGCAGGTATTTGTTTTGCACACAATGATAGGAAAAAAGCTGAGGAAGAAAAAAGGAAAACTGTATGTGGGGTTCATCGACTTTAAGGCTGCATTCGATAAGGTAGACAGAGAAAAGCTGTGGGAGAAAATGAAGAGGTTAGGAATCGAGGGAAAATTTTTAAGGATAGTAAGGCGAATATATGGGGAAACTAAGAACAGGGTAATTACAGGGAAAGGAACGACGGGAGAGTTCATGACAGAAAAAGGAGGTAGACAAGGCTGCCCGCTTAGCCCATTACTCTTCAACATTTTCATTCAGGACTTGGTAGAGGATTTAGAGAAAAGGAAGGAAGGCGGAATGGCGATTGATACGAGGATGGAGGGAAAGGTCTATACGCTATTATACGCGGACGACGCGGCCCTGATAGCAGAAAGTGGGGAGGAGTTAGGAGGGATGCTGAAGACACTGGAAAAATGGTCGGATAAGAATAAGATGGAAGTAAGCACGGAAAAAACAAAAGTGATGGTATTTAGGAGAGGAGGAAAGAACAAACCAGAAAAGTGGTATTAAAAAGGAGAGGAAATAGAGGTAGTAAAGGAATTTAAATATTTAGGGTATTGGTTCATCACAGGGAACAGACACACAAGGCACACGGCGAAGCTCGCAGGAAAGGCGCAGATATTGACAAATAAGGCATGGGGAGAAATGACGAGAGCAAGGATAAAGGACTTGAGTAGGAGGTTATACTTTTTGGGAACGATGGTGAAGGCAGCGGGGCTATATGGAGTGGAATTGTGGGGCTGGAAGAGACAGGAGGGAGTGGAAAAGGTACAAAAGAGACACATAGAGACAAGCATGGGACTGACGAGGAACACTCCAGACTACATATGGAGAATGGAAGCGGGAGTCACTAGCGTGGAAGTGGAAGCGTTTAGAAGAGCGGCAAAATTCCTGGTGAAAATGAATAAAATGAATAAAGAGAGATGGCCAAGGAGATGGATGCGAGAAGAACTAAGGGGAATTCAGAACGGTGAAGCAACAAGGTGGGGACAAGAGATGGTAAAGAAATTAAGAGAATTAGGGGATGGACAGTTCCTGGAAATGCTGTGGAAGGAAAAAAACGAGGAAGCAATAGAGAGGATAGAGGAAATGACACAGATCCTGGGAGACCAAGAGGCACAAAAGGACTGGGAAAGAATTAAAAGATCAAGATACTGTAGCTACTATAAGGAAATAAAGGATAATGCAACGATGGAAGGGTACTGGCAGGACGGGAAACTAGGACTAGAACAAAAAATGATATGGGCGAGGTGGAGATGCGGGAACGCACTAAGAGGCAACAGAACAGGGATGATAGAAGACACATGCAGAGCATGCAAGAAAGAGAAGGAAGTACTGGAACATGTGATAAATTGCGGGGCACTAATGGGGAGGCTAGAAGAGGAGGAAGAGAGCTGGTGGAAACAGTGGAGGCAACAGAGCAGCGACCGAGCATGGAGAGAGAGAATGGTGGAAATGCTGAGGGGACGGACGGATAGAAAGATATGTGGAAGGCTAGGAAAGATAGAGAAAAAACTGAGGGAAATGGAGGAGGAAAGGAGAGAGGACTAAAAGAGAAACTGAAATAGATATAAGAAAGACGAAAGGAGAGGGACTAGGAAGCAAGGAAAGGAGCGGAACAATTGTGATAAACAGAAGGATACAAGGAAGGGATGAATATATAGAAATGGTTAAGGACATAAAATGTTATTAAAATGTTAATAAGTATATCAAATATATATATGGTTTATCTTATATTATATAAAGGAAACAGGAAGGGGGAGTAAACCGATGTAAAACAAAGCAGAACATTTGTAACATCAATGAAATAAACAATAATAATAATATCACTCGTGATTTTTACCGAAAGGCAAAAAACAGCGTAGCGAAGAAAATAGGAAGGCTGAAAAGAACGCGGCCACGAAGCAAAAAATTTCTGGCTCCTAGAATGCACAAAAAAGGGCTAATGATGAAGACGAAAGTTCGTAGTGTAAAGGATGCAGGATTTACAGGATTTTGGAGAAGATGGTCCGCTCTCTTGAGGATTTAATGACAAAACCAATCATGGAGTGGTAATTATGTACCAGCCACTTGCCGACTAATATACCCAACCTATCACAGTTTTTACCTCTTCCCGGCCCGTGAAAGGGGACGTGCATGTTTCTGTATAGTGAAGGCAATAATTCTAATGGAGGCTGTTGGGGCAAAGAATCACGGTGTAGAGACGGATGGAGCGAGAACGAATCGGAAGTTCTGAACAGATGAGAATGTGCAAGTCAGTGACAAATATGAAAGTCCGAAGAGCTACTTTCATCACCCAGTGGATCACAGACGCAAGGTTTTCGTATTCTCGAACATAGTCTACCTGGTAAACTGCATAAGGTATGTATAAAGACATGTCCAGCAGTTATTTTAATTGTGTCAACTTTAACTAAATGGTAAAATGTTCGGTGTATCTTTTCAGATGAAGTCAGGGGCACAAGACCTCAAGTGGGAACACATTATGATTCTTCATGAAGTTGATAGGGCCCAGCCTGGTCCTAGGCAACTCCAGTTGTGTTAGACATTGACCCATCACCATTGACCCATCAATCCAAATAGCTCTGTTCAAACGCGAGTTGCTCTTGCAGTTCAGGTAACTTGGGTTGACGTCTTTTCATAGTATATCAATTTTATTATCAATATTCTCGTTATTGTCATCCTTTCCCTTATATTATACCCTGCAGGTATTTGGTAATTCTGTTTGCCGAAGATTGACGACATACCGGCATTCTCCGGGATTGGGAGAAAGTGAACAGACAGTTTCATTTTGTCAACGGATGAATCGACTTTTTGATACGTTAAATCGATAAGACGATTTGGACTGTGTTACTGTCGACAATTTTTCTCACATCAAACACAGCTGAAGGTCGGCGTGTGACATTGATGTCGACATCGGGTATTATCAAGTATTAGACGGATAATTATAACTTTTCTTCCGTTCTCACTAGGACAATAAATCAGTTCACCGTGAAGGTTTGTCTTCTACCGTACTGAACGCTTAAAACGAAGTGTCGAATGCGTGTGCAGAAATAGGCCATCACATACGTACGATTAGTTAACCATCGCCTTCTGTTTTTTACTAGCTATTTGAAAGCCATCTTCGGCTGTTATCCATACTCATTTCACATTCGCTAACCGCTTACTTGAATTTCAATTTCTCTCATCTACACAGTCTACCTCAACTTGTGTGTAAAAACATGCATTATGCATTGCAATATAAAGATTCTATGCAGAAACAATCAAACTTCTTTTATTGTGGATCCCATCTCCCTAGTCTTCACGCTTCTAAGTATAATATTTCAACAGGATTGAATTTAAAGGAAAGATGTTAATTAGAAGTAAGAAGTGACTGGAATAAGGCCTGTGTCGAACAAAACACTCCATTCATTTTAAATCACTTGCCCGCGTAGTCCCGATCCCTATTAGGACAGACGATGCGTTACCAAGCGGACTTGGACACTCGTGTGGCCACGCAAAACCAGCCCCGTGAATGAAAGCAATGGTTTCAAATTTGTATGTTCTCCATAAGATCTTTTAATTTGGTTTAAAAAGGATACGTCTCGAGAAGAAAAACAATCACAATATGGTATATCTGCACCAATAGTTAAGATAGAAAACTCTAACTTACGCCCATCATCTTTCAATTGGACTACACTTTTTCATTTATTAATTGAAGGAAAGAACATTAAAAATATGAAGGTTAACGGCGTGCTGACATATGGTGGAATGATCCATGTATATGGGACATTCCATGCCCACTTAGCTACCCCCCTTCCTTTTGTCCAGAAAATACTGTCTCATTTTGAATTACTTTATTCAGATAGTATTTATACCAAATTTCATTGCTCTATCATTTTTTGTTCCGGAGATAACGGTCGAAGAATGCGAAATTTTAAAAAATTTATAACTTTTGAAAGGCACATTCGATTTGAACAAATTAAGAAACAAAGTTCTTTGTTTTTGCATATACTTTGAGAAAAAAATACGCCTCAGCCGTAAACAAACTTCTATCTTGATTTTTCGCAAAATTTTTATTTTTTTAGTTTCTTTTTCGTAGAGCCGCCCGATATTCGGTTGGAACATTTTTTTAAAATAAATGATCTCGACTTATGAGATAAAAAAATACGACGGTATGGAAGAGACCCCGAGTGCATTAGATGTTTTTGTTTTTTTCCCTCAAATTTACGTATTTTGTTTACTTCAAAACACGTTGGCGTACTTCCGACGGGGAATCAATGTGCTAATAATTATTTCCTGTTGATTTCGGATAGATATAAACACATTACGGAAAATGAGCGCGGCCCCATACATTCATTTCCTCTAATGTGAAATTCCATATAAATCATATAAATATATATACATATTATTCGGTCACTTCGATGACACTGCAATGTTTTTGAGTAAAGTTCAAAACTGGGAACTCAATCTCAAAAACTGAACAGCTCTTGGCATGACCCGGGAGCACCACGTGGAGGTGGCTGTTCAAGGCTCCCAAAAAGTCGATAACTGTGGTTGGGAAAACACAATTTCCAACTGGCGCATCACTGGAATATGCAGCCTGGTCGGATCACGCAAGAAGATAATGTTCGAATGTAAATTGACGCTCACCTCATGTTCTTCCTCTCTGTGCACTAACATCCCACCTTGGTCCCTTCCTGACCACGTTTTTTTACAAAGAAGTAATAACTCCACTTTTCCGGAGATTGAACTACGGTTTTTTCGTTCACTTTTTCGGAACATTGGAGGGGTTGCATGGGTGGTGTCAAATTTGCAGTGGGACAACTCCCTCACACGGTCCATTTCACACTGGTGGTTACTTTGATTACTGTCATCAAACTGACCAGTGCTCCATTTAACATGTGCTGGAATTTTCCGTTGAAGTCATCAAAGTACTCGAATAACATACATATGAGTTTATATATATTTATATAAGTTGCGACGATGGAATCGTCAAATGTGATTTTTTATCGTCGATTATTATTTGATGTACATTAAATTCCGTCGAGTGCTTCTCAACTGAGCCGCAACTACCGGGCATGAACGTCGTCTAGAAAACGATAATGATGGTAATTTGAGTTCACACCAATGGAACACTATCGTCATCCTGGAGAAAAATCTCTCTGTGACAGGATTTCGACAAGGAGAAACATTATCCAACTGTGAAGTCGCGGATCACTGTATCGTGTCGAATATTTGTCAAGAGTTCAATTAACCGACGTCGATAGCTCAATAGGTAGGTGCCAGCCTATTCTTCTCAATGTAGTAAGTTCGATTCCCCGTTGAATCGAATTTTTCAACAGACACCGATGAGTGGGAGGTTGCTAATAGAGTGACCGCCTGTATCGACATGGTTTTTCTGTGGTTTCGCTTGTAGGATCTACAGCCGCATGCATAAGATTAGCATCTGTATGGGGGCAGAAAAAGGACCGTAATAATAATAATAGTAATAGTAATAATAATGACAATAATAATAATAATAATAAGAATAAGAATAGAATAAACAGTTCGATTACGGATAATTTTTATGTCAAAATCGATTATCACGATTTTTGAGCCACGAATTATTATTTTCATGCAATCTATCATACGAAATTTTATAAACAATAAATCCTATTATTTAATCAGTACCTCTACTCTTAATGCGGCCGAGTAAGAATGAGGAGTACAGTCCTCCCTTTCACCTGAGATTTTTGGTTATCAAGTTAGCCCAAATCTGTTGATTTAGCTATTTTTTAAAGCAACTGGCACCCATGAAATAATAATAGAAAAAAACATTTGTTACAACGTATATGACGAAAAAAAACTTGCTTACATTCGAGGGAGTACAGGAATTTCATCGCAGAAGAAATAAATTCATAGGGCATCATTCGTCTTCATCGATAATGTATTTATATCTATCCGAAATCAACAAGAAATAATCATTAGTACATTCTTTCCTCGCTTGAAGTAAGTGAACTTGCCTTGAAGTCGAAAAAACGGAATATTTTTTGAAAATGTTTAGTTGACGACCTTAACTGGAAAAAAAAATTGCAATCGAATATCGGGCAACCGTAATAAGAAAAAAAATTAAAACAAAAATTTTGCGAAATATCAATATAAAAGTGCGTATACCGCTGATTATTTACTTTTAAAGTATATACGAAAACAGAAAATTTTGTTTTTTAATTTAGCCGAAGCGAATGTGTCATTTAAAAGTTCTGAATTTTTTTAAATTTTGACTTCTTCAAGCTTAATCCCAGGAAAAAAAATGACAGAGCAATGGAATTTGGGATGAATACTATCCAAATATCGTACTTCAAAATGGAACAGTCAGATAATATTTTCTTGACGGAAAAGAACTTCGGGTGGCTGAGTTGACATGCAATGCCCCATATTTCAGATGTCATTTTGAGGTTTCATCTTAATCGAACAATAACTGCATAAATTCGATAATTAATATCATCTAAAAGACGATAATCAAAATTCAAGGACTGGAGAATTGCCATGTTCGCAATGTATGAGACTCCATGAGGTGACAACCAAATGACCCATAATAAAGTGTACTGTTTTCACGTCAATGAGGCATGTAAAACACGTTTCTAACCTCGCTTTGTTCGGTTGCAAAGGCTTTTTCGGAGACAATGACATTAAATGGCATCGTAACCACGGCAAAAAAAAGTGAATCTGACTCATGCGCTTTATAATCTTTGCCTTCGGCTCGGACTATAAAGCTACGTTCGTCAGATCGATTTTTTTCGTTCTAGGTATGAAAAATACTATTAATTAATAGAAAAGTGTGTAATACTAATTGAAAAGTTGTTTTTTCTTACCAGTAATTTTGTTGAGAATTTTTGTCCGTCTTGGAGTTTAATTTCAGAGTTATCTCCTCGTCTCCGCGGAAGAGAGATGTTTTGGACTTGAGAATTGTAAAGGACTTTGAGGTTTGGTTGGTCTTCAAGCTCTTGGTCCAAAGCATGAAGGAGAATATCATTTTCCACTATAAAAGCTATTTCATCAGCCAGATAATCTTCATTAAATGTTATCATGGCATCAGACGTCGCATCCCATACCTAGAAAAAAAAATCAAGGATAGAAATTTATTTCGGCAGCATTTTCCACACATTACGCATTTTTACTTATTTTCTCCATTGATTAGTGTGATTCGTTCTATTTCTTATGATAGCTACCTGCATTTTGCGGACAGGAGTGAAGCGTGCCGATTTAATATGCTTCCAGGCACCAATGCTCGACAAAAGTGTTCGTGTTTGTTTATTCAATGCTACAACTCGATTAGAATAATTCTCCTTTGTTTTATATTTATGCTTATGAGTTCCTTCAAGAAGAACAATTTCCTTCGCTGCAAAACTTCGATTTTTCGCTAAACAATTAAGATCAAATAGATTGAATCGGTGCCAATTCAGATTCCAGTTTTCATAGAATTCTCCAGTCAGTTCCTTGATGAATTAATCATTTATAATAATTTTGATTTTGACTCATGAGAAAAAGATATAATATTGTATATTGTTTCGTTGATTTTCTCAAGACTTAATAATACAAAAATTTCGATAGACTTGCGGGAAAGTCTTTTTGGGCTGACGGGAGTTTTATAGCGTGAGCCAAAGGCGAGTGGTATAATTCCACGAGTCTAAAAAACACTTTGTCGTGAATATGGAACCTTATTTTTCACCACAATGTGTTGAAAGGGAGGTTTTATGTACGCAAACCGAGCGTAAAATGTCACTTCACACATTGTGTTGAAAAAGTGATTGCCATCATCTTTGCCTTGCATGAACTGAAATTAAAGTACCAATTTCTTTTGTTTTTCATTTGATTTTTCTCCCTTTCACCATATGATGATGAATGGTCGGAGTCCGGATGTTTTAAATTACACTAGATAGCTGCTGTACTTCATTTTTTCTGAACGAAGATTCCTCCCAAAAATTCGATGCTCTCTACTTTATACGTATTTCCTTCAATATTCAACTAACCTAAGGCTACCGCCAAAGCCGTTCCAACCATGCCACCTCCAACAATGATAACATCCTTACTGTCTCCGTTAATACTACTTGTACAATGATAATTTTTTATCCTACCATTGTAATTTATTAAGCCTGTACTACTATTTCTCCACACATTGCAAAAAACCCTACTAAAATACCCAAATATTTCACCAGCAATCGCCATATTTACGTGATTAATTTTTTGTGACATTGTACTAATTTCATATAGCGTACCGTAAGACTTGTAACAGAGATTATAGGGGAGATTGCTAACGCCAACGGCGAGGCTTCAACCGCGAAATCTCGTAGCGGTACTGACGGAACTAATTTTGCGGGTGTACCTGTGAATCAAACAGGTCGCGAGGGCAAGAGTGTCGGTAATTTTCGGAGGGCGTGGGTATAGATAAAGCAGAGCGCGAGCCCGAGAGTGTCGATAATTCGGAAAGACCAGCAAACGCGAGAGTGTCGATAATTCGAGGAAATCGTGACGAAAGAAAACATCCCATATAGAGCGGAGTGGGGGTATGATGGAGAAACAATCGATGGACGGAATGAAAAAAATGAATTCACTTTTGTAAATTCGAAAAATAATTAAACAAATTGGGGGAAAATGGTCTTGCGAATATATACTCAAACGATTGGGAATTAGCTGAATCGTCGAGATTTACTGATCCCTCAGAACCTTTTTTTTTGCACTGTTCCTTTTTTGTTAACAAATTCAAAAATGATTAAACAAATTGAGGAAAAATGGTCTCGCAAATGTATACTCAAACGATTGAGAATCGTGTGAAACGTGGAGATTGATGGGTCCCTCGGAACTTTTTTCGTTAATCGATATCTTTTTTGTTAACAATTTCAAAAATGATTAAACAAATTAGGAAAAAATTGTCTCGCAAATATATATTCAAACGATTGGGAATCGCTTGAAACGTCGAGATTTATGGGTCCCTCGGAACTTTTTTTTTTAACGATAGCTTTTTTGTTACCAAATTCTAAAATGATTAAACAAATTGAGAAAAAATTGTCTCGCAAATATATATTCAAACGATTGGGAATCGCTGGAAACGTCGAGATTTATGGGTCCCTCGGAACTTTTTTTTTAACGATAGCTTTTTTGTTAACAAATTCTAAAATGATTAAACAAATTGGGAAAAAATTGTCTCGCAAATATATATTCAAACGATTGGGAATCGCTTGAAACGTCGAGATTTATGGGGCCCTCGGAACTTTTTTTTTTTAACGATAGCTTTTTTGATAACAAATTCAAAAATGATTAATCAAATTGGGAAAAAATTGTCTCGCAAATAGATATTCAAACGATTGGGAATCGCTTGAAACGTCCACATTTATGGGTCCTTCGGAACTTTTTTTTTTAACGATAGCTTTTTTGTTAACAAATTCTAAAATGATTAAACAAATTGGGGAAAAATTGTCTCGCAAATGTATACTCAAACGATTGAGAATCGTCTGAAACGTGGGGATTTATTAGTCCCTCGGAACCTTTTTTTTCAACGGCTCTATTTTTCCCCAATTTGTTTAATCATTTTAGAATTTGTGAACAAAAAAGATATCGATAAAAAAAAAAGTTCCGAGGGACCCATAAATCTCCACGTTTCAGACGATTCTCAATCGTTTGAGTATACATTTGCGAGACAATTTTTCCCCAATTTGTTTAATCATTTTAGAATTTGTTAACAAAAAAGCTATCGTTTAAAAAAAAAAATTCCGAGGGACCCATAAATCTCCACGTTTCAGACGATTCTCAATCGTTTGAGTATACATTTGCAAGACAATTTTTGCCCAATTTGTTTAATCATTTTAGAATTTGTCAACAAAAAAGCTATCGTTTAAAAAAAACAGTTCCGAGGGACCCATAAATCTCGACGTTTCAAGCGGTTCCCAATCGTTTGAATATATATTTGCGAGACAATTTTTTCCCAATTTGTTGAACAATTTTTCGAATTTACAGAAGTGAATTCATTTTTCTCATTCCGTCCATCGATTGTTTCTCCATCATACCCCCACTCCGCTCTATATGGGATGTTTTCTTTTGTCACGATTTCCTGGAATTATCGACACTCTCGCGTTTGCTGGTATTTCCGAATTATCGACACTCTCGGGCTCGTGCAGTTTGATTCACAGGTATACCCGCAAAATTAGTTCCGCCAGTTCCGCTAGGAAAGTTCGCGGTTGAAGCTTCGCCATTGGCGTTAGCAATATCCCCTATAATCTCTGCTGCTAAGCTTGGCAATACCTCCCTGGGGAGAGATTTTGCGCGTTTTTCTCGACTTAAAACTTATTTTTTTGCTCCCGTTAGGAGGCGTTTTGCGGCGTTTATCAGATGCCTTTTAGAACACTGAGAAGTTAGGTATGTGAAGGTTAAGTAAATAATTGCATAACCTAATATTATTCCATTGGTCAAATTATTGGTAAACTACTCGACCTCTGAGTATATAACGAATATCTCCTATCCACCTATAATTTATTACTCAATCTATCATCAATCGTTGGCAACAGTTTGATAAAAAATTTAATTTGAATTATCACCGCGCCTGTGTTCACAAAACCTGCACACACAACGCCTGTATTCCACGCCCCCTAACGGGAGCAAAAAAATAAGTTTTAAGTCGGGAAAAACGCGCAAAATCTCTCCCCTGTATCATACCGGTGACTGGTAGTTGGCACCACATAATTGAACATTCATTAGTTTTTTTATTTAGATCAATAGTAGGACCTTTGTACATCATTGTAATACAATTAAAAAATTTTGTAGACCCTTCATTATTTTTTAATTAATTAAACAAAATAATGAT